GCAATATCAATAATCTGAAGATTTGGCCACATATTGTTGGCATTAACACAGTGAAGGTTACCATGGAACCCATTGGATCGCAAGACTACCACACGCAGGCTTGATAAATTCTTCAATGGGCATGGAAAGGTATCTACAATTTTGTTACCCCCTAAATTTAGAACTTCTAAGGATGCGCAATTGATTAGAGAACTTGGAATCCTCCCTTCTAAGACATTCCTGCCGAGGTCTAATGTTTGTAGAGCACAGTTACTTGGAAACAAATCAGGTATGTTACCGGTGATTTGGTTTTTACCAAGGTTTAGTACTGCGAGGTACTTAAAATTGCTGAATAGACAGGATGGAAGTATGCCATTCAGCTTATTGTTGGATAAATCAAGCACCTTTAGATAGCTTGCATTGCATATGGATTCAGGAATTTCCCCAGTGAAGCTATTATTTGAAAGAGACAAGAAAGAAGCAAATGGAGCATAACTTCCAAGATCAAATGGGATGGAACCATTGAAAAAATTGTTTGAGTAATCAAGATACGTAGCACCCAGGGCTGTGGCTACTCCAATGGGAAGTTGGCCTTGCAGTTGATTTGAGTGCAAGTCCAGTACTGAATACTACTTGGAATTCTGTAAGGCTTTTCTAGACCATCTAAGAAATTGTGGGAAAGATTGAGATGATCCAGACTTCCATTACCCACATTCCATATCCAGTTTGGTATTTCCCCTCTAATCTCATTGTCTGACAGGTCTAATTGGATCAAACTTGATTGATTTCTAAGGTCAAGAAACTTTTGCAATCCACAAGAAGACATTTCCAAAATAGTAATCTGGGGTAAGAATGAGGTAGTGGTTGAACTACCACTACTTATGTCAACTGACAAGTTGTTGTGAGAAAGCTCAAATCTTGTGAGGTTCTTGAGATTTTGGAGACTTTCAAACATAAACCTTCCACTGAAGGAGTTGGAAGAAAGTAATAGCACATTCAGCTTTGGAAGTTCAAAAAAGAACTTTGGAATGGAGCCATTTAGAAGGTTATAACTCAAGGCGAGCTCATGTAATTGAGAGGCAGATGCATTAAGGTATTCATCAACTTGACCATCAAATTTATTGTTGGAAAGCACAAGATTCTGCAAAGATGGAAGTGAAAAAAGAGATGGGGGAATTCTTCCGGAGAGTAAATTAGACCCTAAATATATATTCACAATTTCTGAAAGGCCTCCGAAATGCTTGGAAGAAAGTGAACCAGTTAGGCCATTACGAGATAAGTCTATGTGGTTAAGGTTCTTTGACCATCGGAAATGTGGGATTGAGCCAGTGAAGTTGTTAACTGAGAAATCCACGTAAATAAGACTGGTAAGTTGTGCCATTGAAGAGGGAATTGATCCACTGAAATTACAGACAGAGAGATCAATCCTGGACAAGTTGCTAAGATTACTAATGGATGCTGGCAAGGAACCAGAAAATTGAGTTTCAGATACTGAAATCATTTTAAGTGATCCATTCTTGGGAAATGATGGGAAACTGCCACTAAGGTTCTGATTGTTTGCCAAACTTAATTCCTGTAAACCTTGTATATGAAATATCTCTCTTGGAAATGCTCCCTGCAGATTACAGGAGCTGAGGCTTAAGGTCTTCAGGTTCAAGAAATTTGCAAAGAATTTTGGAACTGTACTGGAAAAATCATTAACATCCAGATAAATTTCAGAAAGGAAACGGAGTTTCGAAAGGGAAGGATGAATTGGACTTGAAACTCGACAGCTTTGCAAGCTCAACACTCTTAAATTAGGCAGAGATGAAGACAAGGCCTGACACCATTCACTCCTTTGAGCTGAAAGATCAACACCATCAAGATAAAGTTGTCTGAGTTGTATAGAGTTTTCAAAGAATTGCTTTAGATTTGGATTCTCAAGTCTAAGTGGTGGACCTATTGGGAAGGGGGCTGAGAGGTCAAGAGTAACTAACCTTGTCAGCCTTGATATCCCATTCGGAATCTGCCCTCCAAAACCAGCATTATTTGACAGATTAAGATATGTCAACTTGGTAAGATTATAAATCTGAACCGGAAATGGAGTTGAGTTGAAGGTGTTGAAAGCCAAATTTAGCCTCTCCAGGTATTCAAGCCTGAATAGACTACTTGAATTCTCAAAACCACCTTCTGTAATGGCTTCATTGTCAAGAATCAAACCGGTAACATGACCTGAATCATCACACTCGACGCCAGGCCAGTAACAACAGTCGTGTGTAGTGTTCTTATTCCAGTTCACAAGCTTGGTTGAAAATGTTGAGTCGAACTTCAGGCTACTCCGCAACTCCAACAACAACATTTTCTGCTCGCCCATGCATTGAGCTGCCACCAATGAGATGTTGAAGCCACATATTATATGCAGCAAAGATATCAAGAAAAGCCATGGAAAGAGTGGTGTTTTCATTGTTGGGCAACCAAAAGGTAGGCTAAAATCTGTGTTTTGGGGAAGCTAGTTTTGAAGTGAATGAGAAAAGTGTCCGGGGTGACTAGTGAGATATATAGATTAACATTATATTATTTCAAGTTTTTTAGTCAAATTTGATGTCTAATTTTGGGTTTGATCTACTGTTGCAGAAACCCATCTTCTTGTCAAAGTCAAGGTTTATGTCAAAGTCGTCTCAGTGTTTCATCTTGACTGGCAAGTTGAATTGATTGGTTTTGCACAACTTCTAAGAAATTCGTTTATTATGGAACTCCAAATATTCAGCTTATAGGTTCACAGTTGATTGCCAAATCCAATAAATATTTATTAAATAAAAATTAAGGGGGTGTATTCCATCATAACTTTCATAGAGTTTTAAAGACTATTATGAACTTTAAAAGTTTGGAGGTATTCAATTCAAACTTTTAGAGAGTCTTTAAAAGTCAGGCGGTATTCAATCAAGATTTTTAAAGAGTCTTTAAAAGTCGTGTGGTATTCGATTAAGACTTTTAAAGGGTTTTTAAAAGTCACGGTATTCAAAAAGTTATGAACTTTTGTAGACTATTTAATTTTAAGACTTTTGTAGACTTTCTTTTCTCAAATATAAATAGTTGAATCCAACCATCAACCCCAAGATTTTAAATTTTCTTTCTAACAACTTTGAATCTTTTCTCTCTCTATTTAAACTCTATTTTTTCTCCCTATTTAAACTCTATAAACCTATATATCTAAATTCAATAAAATTATTTTTTTCTTCATTATCCTATATTTTCCTCATACCTAAACTCTACCAATTTTTCTCTCTCCTAAACTTTAGAATCTTCATCGAAAAATTCGAAATAATATTATTTTTACTTCATTATTGATTGTTTATATTGATTTTTATTTTTTTTCTATGAATATTTTATCACTAACTTTCTCTAATTCTTCCTAAATACATGAACAAAGCAAATTTTTTCATAGTCAAATTTTAGTATATGTTTCATAATATTCATATAAATACTTATATATTTTGATTTTTATTCTTTTTATGTTTATATTCGTAATATATATATATATATATATATATATATATATATATATATATATATATATATATATATATATATATATATAAATTTTAACAAGTTACTACAAATAGCGAATTACTGTTCGCAACAACAATTTGTGGTTGCAAACAATAGCACCTTGTTGTTGTTCGCAGTATCAAATTGATATTGCAAATAATATATAGTTCTTTGCGTGATGCTTAGTAATATATCAAGTATAATTTTATATATATTATTAATATTTGATTTTTTTTTATTTTTTTATTTTATGCAACTTGTAATCATATTTTTAAATATTTTATTTGATCAAGTCTTTTATTATACATTTTATTGTTCAATATTGTTATGAATTTCTAATGAAATAGTTTTATTTTTGATGATGTTTATTAATAATATATATAAGTAATTAGCATATAAGTCTCAGCATACTATGGATAAAAATAATAATGTTGAGAATGTTGATGTTGGTGAAGAACTATATAATAAGAAGAATTTTATGATATATTATAAATGTTTTGTAAGAAAATTGTAAATGATAAGAATCAAAATCATTGAAAGTTTGTAAGGATGTATTCAATTTAGAATTTCAATGACTTTTGTAGACTTTTAAAATTAAAAAGTTGAATATTTTTTATATAGACTTTTATAGAGTCTTATAAAGTTTTAAAAAGTTTTGAACAATTCTATGAAAGTCAATCAAAGTTTATTAAAATCTATCCAAAGTCTTTAAAACTTTACAAAAGTCAAGATTGAATACACCCCCGTAAGACCTCACATCAAATAATAAAAAAAAAAGAAAAAAAAAGAAGACCTCATATCACATATGTTTGTTAGAGCTTATAATTTATTTTAAACTACAAATAAGATAAGAAAAAAAAAGAAGACCTCATATCACATATGTTTGTTAGAGCTTATAATTTATTTTAAACTACAAATAAGATATAAGCTTTGTATTTTCAAAAAAGTTAGGCAGAGGTGTCAAATATTTTGTGTAGAAAAATATTTTTTTTTTTTGTAATTTTTTTCTTAATTACATATTTGGTCTTTTGGATGAGTAAAAACGATCAAATTACTCAGTAATCCAATGCCACCCCATAGTAGACACCATTGCACCGATTTGGTAATTCTAGGCAGCCAAATAGGGGTGGAAATAGGTCAGGTTGAACCAGAACTTAATAAATTAGACTTGTAGCAATTCACTAATCAAGATTATTCGGATTTCATAATAAAGAAAACCTTCCTAACACAAAAACTTATGAACACATAATAAAAGGGTAGATTTGAAAAGTTTAAAGCAAATGGTTCTTCACCCAACAACATGCAACTCCAAAAGTGAATATAATTTTCGGATCAAGCCCTTATTACTATGTCAATAATTCTAACTAGTATTGAAAACACAACTTTAATTGTTTTCTTATACTTACGTAGTAATCACTGTTACATCCCGATGACAGGATGTTAGACTCAACTCAATAATACTTAAATATTGTCTAATTGATAACACAGGATATAGTAGACTTGCTGGAGTACATACAAACCATGCAAACGTGCACTAGCTAGGAGCTATCACCATCACAATCACTGAGCTAAGCATTGGCACCTACAAAATGAAGTGGAGTGAATAATGGGCTTAAGAAGAAGTGCTTAATTGGTTTGTAATCAACAGTACGTGTTTATATGAAAAATTTGTATAAAATTGGAGGTAATCAAGCTTACCTGCAGGCTGCAGCTTAGATTGATTGGATTATATTCTGTTCCTGCGAACTCTGCTTCTTGGTTTCAGAGATTTTCTTCCTTGTTGTGGTGGACTGAATAATAGCCGTACTAAAACATTGACAAGTTGTTGGTATGCTTTCTTGCATCTCTTGTTATGCAAAAGCATCCAAAGGTACATGCTTAAACCCACAGAGAATCCCAAAGCAGAAGTTACATATTCCCATTTGATCTCAAGTTGGGCACCACCCAATTGTATCGCAGATTCGCCGCCACCCAAACTTGTTGGAGATTTGCAACTTTTTGAGAGAGGAAAACCGCACAGTTCTTGATTGCCTAGGTAAGAATCTGGTCCAAATGTATTAAGTTGATTACCGGTTGGAATCACACCAGAAAGTCTGTTGAATGATAAATTCAAGACTGAAAGGAATGTGAGTTTCGCAAGCTCTGCTGGGATCTTTCCATTTAGTTGGTTTGCTGAAAGGTCTAAGGACTCAATTGTTTTCAGATTTCCAATTGTTTTGGGGATATTCCCTATGAGAGCATTGTGTGAGAGGTTGAGAAAGTAAAGTGATGTGAGAGCTCCAATGGTATTTGGTATGATTCCATGGAAATTATTGCTTGAGAAATCAATAGATGTAAAGACTTTGAGAATTTTCACCAGTTCCATCTCAGCCCCTTTCACGGTTAACATTACTGTATCTTGGTAGTAGAAGTTATTGAGTCTCAAGTAGTCAAACCTGATGTTGCCCCCAGATTGCGTAGCGTTATCTTCATCAACAGTCATTCCTTTCCAATTTAACAACTTTGGGGAGAGTTCTCCACTGAAATTATTGGAAGCAATATCAATAATCTGAAGATTTGGCCACATATTGTTGGCATTAACACAGTGAAGGTTACCATGGAACCCATTGGATCGCAAGACTAGCACACGCAGGCTTGATAAATTCTTCAATGGGCATGGAAAGGTATCTACAATTTTGTTACCCCCTAAATTTAGAACTTCTAAGGATGCACAATTGATTAAAGAACTAGGAATCCTCCCTTCTAAGACATTCCTGCCGAGGTCTAATGTTTGTAGAGCACAGTTACTTGGAAACAAATCAAGTATGTTACCGGTGATTTGGTTTTTACCAAGGTTTAGTACTGCAAGGTACTCAAAATTGCTGAATAGACAGGATGGAAGTATGCCATTCAGCTTATTGTTGGATAGATCAAGCACCTGTAGATAGCTAGTATTGCATATGGATTCAGGAATTTCCCCAGTGAAGCTATTATTTGAAAGAGACAAGAAAGAAGCAAATGGAGCATAACTTCCAAGATCAAATGGGATGGAACCATTGAAAAAATTGTTTGAGTAATCAAGATACGTAGCATCCAGGGCTGTGGCTACTCCAATGGGAAGTTGGCCTTGCAGTTGATTTGAGTGCAAGTCCAGTACTAAAATACTTCTTGGAATTGTGTAAGTCTTTTCTAGACCATCTAAGAAATTGTGGGAAAGATTGAGATGATACAGACTTCCATTACCCACATTCCATATCCAGTTTGGTATTTCCCCTCTAATCTCATTGTCTGACAGGTCTAAATGGATCAAACTTGATTGATTTCTAAGGTCAAGGAACTTTTGCAATCCACAAGAAGACATTTTCAAAATATTAATCTGGGGTAAGAATGAGGTGGTTGAACTACCACTACTTATGTCAACTGACAAGTTGTTGTGAGAAAGCTCAAATCTTGTGAGGTTCTTGAGATTTTGGAGACTTTCAAACATAAACCTTCCACTGAAGGAGTTGGAAGAAAGTAATAGCACATGCAGCTTTGGAAGTTCAAAAAAGAACTTTGGAATGGAGCCATTTAGAAGGTTAGAACTCAAGTCGAGCACATTTAATTGAGAGGCAGATGCATTAAGGTATTCATCAACTTGACCATCAAATTTATTGTTGGAAAGCACAAGATTCTGCAATGATGGAAGTGAAAAAAGAGATGGGGGAATTCTTCCGGAGAGTAAATTAGACATTAAATCTATATTCACAATTTCTGAAAGGCCTTCGAAATGCTTGGAAGAAAGTGAACCAGTTAGGCCATTACGAGATAAGTCTAAGTAGTTAAGGTTCTTTGACAATCGGAAAAGTGGGATTGGGCCAGTGAAATTGTTAAATGAGAAGTCAACATAAATAAGATTTGTAAGTCTTGCCATTGTAGAGGGAATTGATCCACTGAAATTGCAGTTGTAGAGGTCGATCCTAGACAAGTTGCTAAGATTACTAATGGATGCTGGCAAGGAACCAGAAAATTGAGTTTCAGATACTGAAATCATTCTAAGTGATCCATTCTTGGGAAATGATGGGAAACTGCCACTAAGATTCTGATTGTTTGCCAAACTCAATTCCTGTAAACCTTGTATATGAAATATTTCTCTTGGAAATGCTCCCTGCAGATTACAGGAGCTGAGGCTTAAAGTCTTCAGGTTCAAGAAATTTGCAAAGAATTTTGGAACTGTACTGGAAAGATCAACACCATCAAGATAAAGTTGTCTGAGTTGTATAGAGTTCTCAAGCAATTGCTTTAGATTTGGATTCTCAAGTCTAAGTGGAGGACCTATTGGGTAGAGGACTGAGAGGTCAAGAGTAACTAACCTTGTCAGCCTTGATATCCCATTCGGAATCTGCCCTCCATAACCAGCATTTGACAGATTAAGATATGTCAACTTGGTAAGATTATAAATCTGAACCGGAAATGGAGTAGTTGAGTTGAAGGAGTTGAAAGCCAAATTTAGCCTCTCCAGGTATTGAAGCCTGAATAGACTACTTGAATTCTCAAAACCATCAACTGTAATGGCTTCATTATCAAGAATCAAACCGATAACATGACCTGAATCATCACACTCGACGCCAGGCCAGTAACAACAGTCGTGTGTAGTGTTCTTATTCCAGTTCACAAGCTTGGTTGAAAATGTTGAGTCGAACTTCAGGCTACTCCGCAACTGCAACAACAACATTTTCTGATCACTCATGCATTGAGCTGCCACCAATGAGATGTTCAAGCAGCATATTATACGCAGCAAAGATATCAAGAAAAGCCATGGAAGGAGTGGAGTTTTCATTGTTGCACAACTGCTAAAATCTGTGTTTTGGGGAAGCTTTAATTTGAAGTGAATGAGAATAGTGAGATAGATTAACATTATATTATTTCAAGTTTTTTAGTCAAATTTGATGTCTAACTTTGGGTTCGATCTACAGTTGCAGAAACCAATCTTAGCTTGTCGATCAAAGTCACCGTTAAGTCTATGTCAAAGTCGTCTCAGTGTTTCATCTTGACTGGCAAGTTGAATTGATTGGTTTTGCACAACTTCTACAAAATTCGTTTATTATGGAAGTCGATATATTCACCTGATATTATAGGTTCACAGTTGATTGCCAAATCCAAGAAATAAATGCAAATACTCGTAATTCATAACAATCAAAATGTTTATGACATCATGTTTTGTCCCGTTTGCATTGGGCTGATCTAATTAAGGAGTAAAGTGCTGATCATATTAGTTTTTCATATGAGAGACGGTTTTGAACTCCTAATCTTTCTTAAAAAATGAGAAGGCATGACCACTAACGCCAATCAAGTTGGTTAGCAAGTAATAAATTAATGAGAAAATGGTCAAATAGATCCCTAAACTTTACCCCAAAGGTCAATTAGGCCCCTAAACTTAAAAAAGGTTCAATTAAATACTCAAACATGTTAAATTGGATCAATGAAGTCCAAAAACCGGTAAATGACCTGTTATTATAGGTCATTTCAATACCGACGACGAATTCCAGCCACCGGTGACAATTTCCGGCCGTCCGATCTTCTTAAGATAATTGCAGGAGAAACAGTGGACAGTTATTATGACTTTTGAGATTGATAAATTGGTTGATTTTTGTAGTATTATTTTAAAATCATACTAACATTATTTTAGGAATTTTTTTTTTTTGATAGAATGCAAATAATATTTTTGTGGTCAAGGTCATTGAGACTTTGTCTCAAAGACCAAAATTTTCTCATCATTATTTATTGCAGCCAGCAATGAGGAAAATGATTTTTCTATTATTATAATTCAATCTAAGGTAAGATATGAAAATACATAATTGTTGTAAATACATCTATTTGATGGTTGTAACTTCATATTCCCTGAAATTTTCTGATTAGTTGTAAATTTCGGATAATGCTGAGTTCCAGAATATTATAGAGGGGGGGAGTTGTAGATGGAGAACCAAAGGAGTCTAAAATTTATTTAGGAATACTGATTGTTGCGATCACTTGGATAATCAGGTCGTTGATCATGGGAATCAACATCTATTACCTTGCAGAGAAGTTAGTTACTTTCCTCAAGAACAGTGATATGAAGATGGTGGGCAAACAAGGTCTTCTTTGGAATCTTGGGGTTCACGGGATTGTTGGTCACTTGGGTAGTATCACATACCTAGTCATCCAAGAAAACGAGGAACGCACCCACCTTCTCGCACTCACTGCCATTGATGGGTCGTCACCAAACGACAACGAGCCAAGTCTACCCCGAGAGGACATTCGAAGCATATATGCAACTGCCGGAGAAGAGGTCTACTTCATATGTGGAGTGAAGGAGTAAAAGTTGCATCATTGTATAGGTAGGAAGATATAAATGACAACCTAGGTGGAAGTAGAGGTAGCAACATGGATAGTCGTTGGTGTTTTATGTCCTATATGTGCTTACATGTTTTCTTTCCATTTTTATGTTAAGGTTTTAGATATCATAAATTGTACGTGTGTGCTGTGTTATTAATGTTAACTAGTAATTTCACACACGCAGTACACACGGCGCACGCACACCGCACGACACACGCACGCTAAGTTGATTGTATGGCGCGCACATACTTTCAGTAAAAAATGAGGCTTTAATTTGTTCAAGTCCAAGTCTGAGCAGCTCTCCTGATACTCCTCGCTCAACTTTGGAATATTGCAAACTGCACCACTCACCGATATAACGCACATGTTAATGATAAAGGCCACTATTAAAGCTATGTCACTCTCGATCAGGTAAAATGTGCAGGCCTCCTACAAATAACTCAGATGGTCAACTATCAGCATAATTGTTTCCAAATAGTTAAAAAAAATTACGAAAAGCTTCAGAAAATGTAGCAAACATCTTTGAGCTAGCACGACTGAAGTTCATATCATTATGCACATAAGGTAGTCTTAATAAGGATCGTGCATGTTACGTAATTTTCCGATGGGACCAATAAGAAAGCAAAGTTCATGTGCAATATTTTCAAAGATAAAACATAGTTTTATACATTATTTAAAGATGTTGGAATTTTCCTAGAAAGCACCAAAGCTGAATGGAGGAAAATATTGTTCCTAAAACAATTGCAATGTATTAAGATGTCAATCATGACATAACTCAACTGCAAATTATGTCCAACAAATTATATTACAGTAAATTGAATCATATCGAAGGTAGCTCATCTCAGTCACACATAAATCATTTCACATCAGAGCTTCTTGCTCACAGCCATTGTAGTTAAGTAACACTTATTTAACATCACAACTATTCATTCCTAGTATTTGCTACCCATAAAATTTAAGGAAAATGATAGAACTCAAACATCAATATTAAATTGAGTTTCTTAAAAATTAAAGCTATTCTCTCCCCCGGCCTTCCTCCCAATCTAGTATTCTGCTGGCCTCAAAATTTTCTCTACCATAAACCCAAACCCAATATTATCCACACAAAATGGCATAAAGCCTTAAATTTTTTTTCAAGAAATTATCAAATGGCATAAACCACTTCCTATGTTTTAGCGTATAGACAGACAGTGAGACAGACTGTACATCGACAATAATAATAATAATAATAATAATAATAATAATAATAATAATATATTTTTGTGATTCTTTATCAACTAAAATCACAAGACAGTATTTACTTAAAGCACAGTTTCATGTAATAGCTATGTGTTTACTTCGTCACTTAAAAAATGAAGAATGAATGGCAAAAGTATATCCTTCTTAAAGAGATTTCACTAAAGTATATCCTTCTTAAAGAGATTTCACTTTTATTAGAGTTTTACATAACATGAACAAAATTAGTTTTAATCTGTGAAATTCTAGTGTATCTTGTCTGGCGGTGTGTGAGGTCCCAAAGGAACCTGTGTCAGACAAAATAAATAAATAAATAATCTTTCAAGTAATGAGGTGTGAGAATCCAGCCACGTGTAACTCTATTTCTATCTTCGCACGCTTTCAAAGCCGATTGAGAATCTAACATTCTTCCAAAAAGACTGAACCCCGACCCTAAGGGTCCCCCACACCCCGACCCGATTGAGAATCTAACATTAACAAAGTGTTTGGTTGACATGAATTTCAATTTAATTACAACGTAATTAAGCAGAGTTAAAAATTACAATGTTTAGTTGGAGGGACGGAATTGCAATTTCCCCTATTTGTGAAATTGCAAATCATATATCCCCTTTGGCCCTATGAATTAGAATTCAACACATCTTGAAAAGGAAAAAATAAGAAAAATGATTAAATTACCCTTAATTATTAATATTATTATACAAAGACATTTTAGTCTTTATATCATTTATTTCATTCCCATTCTCATTCCTAATAATTATATTTCTTCCTATCAAAAAATATAATTTGAATTGCTACTTTATTCTCATCTTATTATTTTTTTCCATTGAATTACAATTCTTTTTTTGTCTAATTTTTTTTATTCCAAGCTATGTAAATTCAACTCCCAGTTAATCCGCACTAAAGGTACAAGCCACCTGGCTCTTGATCTTGATTTGTGCACCCTCAATTTTACGTATGGCTCCACCATCACTTACAAGTTACAATATAATACCCATCTCTCCTTATCATCCACTAGTTTTCACATGATACTTGCTTTTACTATACAAGAAGCATACCCTTCTCTGATTCTTGAATATCACCTTCATTTTCTTGAATCTCCGGTGAACCCAGTCTTGGACGTGCGAGATGAGGAGGGCCTTGACAGGGTCATCATTGAAGGGGGTGTGGCTGGGGAATGAGTGGGGAAGAAGCTCCTTTTGGTGGCAAAATGATGGTGCTTTAAGGAGGACAGAAATTTGCTTTCTTGGTTTGCCAAATGGAAACCATACTGCTAAAATCACCATCTTTTCATCACTTCCAGTACCCTTTCTGAGCAAATCTATCCATCCTGTTCTAGCAGATGCTTCTGCTGTGTCTTCACCAACATTAGAAACTCAGGTACAAGAAACTAGGTTGTCTATTGTACTTAGTTACTGTGTTATGTAAAGTAGGAGTTACTGAGTTGATAATATATTTCTAATTGATGCAGGAGCAGTTTGAGAGTGAAGAAATGGATTCAGCATGTAGAGACTTTTTTCCCTTCCCTTTCAAGTTGATAAAGCTTATAACTTCGTAACCAAAAAGTTGCAAATTCAACTTCCAGTCGAGAGGCTTATTAGTATTCTTGATTTGAGCCGGTCAGCTATTGTGATTCTTTGCTGGTTAGGCAGGGTTTATGTTGTGCACACTCTCGAGTAGTCACTGAGAGTTTTCATTGGTCACTCAAAAAAAGGGTTCCTAACTCTCTCTGAGACTTGTTTTCACTATCATTAATTCAGTGTATTCTTCAATATGCAGATGGATTAAAAACTGTCCATGTCAAATTTGAATTACAAAAAGAATGTTCATTTGGGCAGCAATTTCTGATGGTTGGTGATGATCTAATGTTTGGTGCATGGGATCCATCAAAAGCTGTTCCTCTCACCTGGTCAGAAGGACATGTATGGACTCTTGAGATGGTAAGGTTTTAGTGGTCCCTAAATTGTTTCCAGACTTCCTTGTATTTATGATTCATATGTGATATGTTGTGGTTGTTTTTTTTTTTTTTTTTTTTCTTTTTACTATTATAGGATATTCCCACAGGCAAATCTATTGCCTATAAGTTCATACTGAAAGAAGCTGATAAGGATATTATATTGTGGCAACCCGGCCCTGATCGCATGGTGGAAACATGGGAAACAAGCAACACAATAACAGTTTGTGAAGATTGGGATAATGCTGAGCTCCAGAATATTATAGAGGGGGGAGTTGTAGATGGAGAAGCAAAGGGGTCTGAAATTTATCCAGGAATGCTGATTGCTGAGAAGTTATCTGGAAATGAGGAGCATGGTTCTCTAGTTGCAGATAATATAAGCACGGGTAGCTCAGTTAGTTTCTGGATGGCAGATTGTGGGCAAGGGCAAGATAATATAAGCGGAGTTGAAGAGGAGGTGAATGCATCTGAAGCTTTGGTTTTTGATGAAGAGACTCTGGTTTTAGTGCCGGGACTGAATCAAATTATAGGTGTGGAATCTGAACTAGTGCCCTTGAAAGAAGATGAGACAGAGAGTGAGGGAGAAGGTTTGGTTGGATGTATTAATGCACCAGAGGTAACGGCTTGGCTTAACATTCAACCAAGAAGTTAGTTTTACATGCAGTTGCTATTCTTGTTTGACATTAGGTTCAATTAACTATGATGTTGTTCTCAGATTTCTGATATGCCATGAACTGTTATGATCCAGTTGAATTCAAATGAAGAGTTTCTGAGTGGTAAAGAAACCTCTGAGATGGTGTTAAGCAAACAGCCATCGGAGCTGAGTGTCGTTGAAAGTGACCTCCAATGGGGTAGGACAACTCTCCACAAATTGCTCACTAATTTGGGGTGGTTATAACATCAAAGCTTTCAAGGTAATTCCTGTCTCTGTACTCCACTACTGTGTATTCATGGATTTTCTCATAAGTGGGAGAATTACTTTTTCCTTCTTGTTCTATCGAACTAGTTTACTGAATATTCAACATATTATATTTTACGTTACAACATAGTTGTTAACTGATTGAATTAGTAGAAATGTTTTAAAAAATTACTTTAATCAAATACTTATATACTTATATTGATTATTTAACCAAATCAAATAATTAATAGTGTAATAAATAAGTCAAAATTGATTGATAAGCTATATTACCAAATAGGCCACCTTAACACTATAGTACTATACTATATTTACCTGTCACTGGGACATTGGTTGGGAAGAATGGGGAGATAATGTAAGAGTGATTAGGAAAGAGAGTGTGGGAGAGGAGAGAAAAAAAAAAAAAAAAAACAAACAAAACAAAAAAAAAATTAAAAAAAAAAAGTAGTCAGACGCGTCAGGCGCGCTTGAAGCGCCCGGCTTTTGCCCAAGGCTGTGCGCGAACGCGCACAGCCTTGCTTCTTCTTCTTTTTTTTTTTTTTTTTTTTTTTTTTCTGACAATCTCCTCACATTTGCAGGAGGATTTTTTTTCAATTATCTCCCCTCCACACTAGTTATTATCTCATGTAGGGAAGAATTAATGCTGAAATCTCCCCACAATATACACAAGTGTGGATGCTCTTAGCATTCAAATTAACACAAATTCCAACACGGCGTGTTGCGTACGCTGTGCACAAAGCTCGTCTCCTGCCGTCTTAAAACTCCCAGTGGTCAAAGCCTATATATTATTATCTGGCACAATAACTAATGGCATGTCATTTAATAAAACCTTGAAACTCGAAACATTTTTAACATCAAAGAATCGTTCGTTCTGGCATTTGTTAGCCTATAAGGTCAGTCTGTAATTCTGTATCAACCAAACAAAAAGAGAGCATTTACAGATTCCGATTCTGTCTACCTGTAGATTAATCTATGCAAGTTGAAGAAGAAACTAATGCCTTCCACCCAAGACAAACCAAATCAATCATGCGCAATAACATCAGAGTCCCACCTCAGAGCCATTTACTTTCACCAATTTTCCATCAGCCAGCTTCTTATCTTCCAGATTGAGAGAGTCCCATAAAAATCCATTTTCATTTTCCACTGAATGATTATCAAAATCTTTATCCACCACTCCATTATACGATTCAACATGGAACATATATTTATCTGCAGTATCATATGAAGAACCGTTATAGCACCTTGGGCAATAGATTCTCCTATTAATAGGAACACTAAAGGAGAAAAATTTTCTTTGAGATACACAGCACAGTACTGAATATAAGCTAGCTGTACACAACAAGAGATTAAATAGAATGGAAGGTCACCAGCTAAACTACGTAGGGCATTTGCAGCTGCCTGTTGCTGAGCATCCTTTATTGTTTTACCCATACCAACACCAATTTTCTCACCAGTGAAGAAGACCTAAAAAGTCACCTAGGATGTTAAGCTTCCCAAGGCATAAGATGTAAATAGTACTCTTACTATTTAGAGGTAGAAAATATATACTTTGTTCCAAAGGTTAGTATATCAATCAAATTTCAGATACAAAAAAATAATTTGAATCATTTAAAAAGCAAAAAGATGTGATTTTCAAGCTAATTTTCAGTACTCAAATCACCCAGATTGCAAAACAATCCAATGATGAATAAAGTTTTTTCTGTACCGTGGTTCATGACATCTCCAAAAAATATAAATTTACAAGATTAGAGTATTAGACTAAACCATACTAACAAGAAATATATTAGCATTAAATAATTCTAAAATAGTCTACATGTTCGAAATAATTAAAAGCATTGAACTAACCTCAACTGAAAATTGTAGTTCAGCACTGGTACTCACACCAGGCCTAAATTCAACCTACATATAACAAGGGCCACCTTAGAACTTTTAGAACTTTTAGAACTTCAAACAAAACAACTATGAAAATATATGCATCCAAAAAAACCATGTGATCTTTGTTTATATAGATGTTCATGGTATACCTTTGAGGTGCATCGCCTTCCAATTTCTTGCAACACCCCAATAGCTATAGAGGGTAAGATATTCATTTTCCCACCTTCCAGTTGGAAGTCTATATTACCAGAGGGCAACTGATTTTGTGAAACAATATCTATTTCAGATGAGAAGATAATTAGCAAAAGAAGAAGAAAGCATCAAGGTAGATGAAACACAGAAAACAGGGGAAAAATCATTTGTAAAGGAAAGGAAGTTTCGAGTACCAGTTACTGGATTTGGAACATTCTTCTTATGCATTGAAATTTTCTGTATATTAATAAACCCAAATAAAGAGGCTGTTAGACATTATATATTTATATGGTAGGAGTATATTTAGCATGATATTAGGGATTACTGTGCATATTATTAGGGATTTAATTCTGATCCTTGCCTTAGTTAGTATGTATATTCTTGTATAAATAGGTGTATTCTTGTGACTGAAATATATGAAAAAATGGAGTTCTCCATTTGACATGGTATCAAGGCATTCAGAAGATGGAACAAATATTAACCAGATATGGGAAATGATCAAGATGCTACCTCTTCACTCTTCGTTGCAGAAACATGCAATGGTAAAAGACCTTGTTTATCGGGTCCAAATGCACCAAAGTCTTGAATAAGTCCTCGTGTTTGGCTACCAAAATGTCCTCTGTTGGTGTCATCTTCTATCAAACAGGATCCCAGTGTTTGCAAGGGAAGCACTGGAATATTTTGTGGCACTCTCGATACAAGAGGAGGCTCTGCCGAACCTTGATGCCTAACTCTTTTCCTTCCATCACGATCAGTTTCAGAAATGCTGTTATCTCTTCTGAATGGAACTCCAAGCAGACTAGGTTCTAAGGTGCATTTAATAAATAAAATAATCATCAGTTAGAAAATGTTTCAAGAAAATGCTCAATATCTCATCAAACGGCAATATAGGTGCGGTGAATAGGTGTTATGTTCAAATAATCCACTTTCCAAAAATTGCTTGTTTAGTGAATGGGGACTACATTTGTGGGAGAGGAAGTAAAATAGGTGCTCATTACAGACTTTCTAACAGCAAACCTCCTTTGATAGGCAGTGAACCAGATAAATTAGGAGCAGATCCTAGAACAGATTGAGAGTGTTCAGATTTCAGTACTGGATTAAGAGGCATCAAAGGTGTAGCAGGATTCATATTATTTTTCCCATCCTAGAAAAAACAACAATATGAGAACACAGGAAAACAATCATGACTACAAGCTAATGATTAGCTGGAAGAGAAGTCAATCCAAAACAATGGTTTTCATAAACACATTTGGTATGAACCTGCTGATCCAATCTTTGTGCAACTGCAGGTCCAAACATTCCCTTAGGGATGGGAGGGTTGAAACTTCCATTTGATAAAAAACTAGAGTCCTGAAAGTACAGCATTATCAAATCATCAAAATCAAGTCTCAAAACAGATGTTATTTGATGGTGTCAAGCAAAAATGTGATCGTGGTCTAGCAGGTGGCGAAAAGCCACCACCTAGAAGTACAACAAAAGCTATAAGAAGGCAATTAAGAGAATAAAGAGAAATGCTTGAACAGTTAGTGGATAAATCTTACAATAACATAGTATTTATAGGCTATGAAAGGCATATATAGAGTCTAGATTCATGGTTTACTATAGAACACATGATAATCATGGTACTAACAGTACAATCTTGAACTAGTGCTATGATCCTTGAAATCACAAGGTGAGATAATTACGTAGGTGATAACTGATAAATAAGAAATCTGCAGAGTTCAAATCTTCCTGCAAATAGGATAAAAGATGATTACCTCAAATGCCAAGTAATGGCTAACATCAGGTCCAGAAGGCAAATTCACCACCTCATCTTCATAAGAAATGTTGGCAGTGTTTTGTAATAGGCTCTCATCTAACTCTCTGATTAAAACAATACATATATGCATAAAGTTACATAGCATATGATGCATTTACAAAGATTTTCATCATAAAAAAAGTTTATACAGCTTTTGGTGAATGGATTTACTTGAAGAAACGACTTCGAACATCACATGCGACATTTCTTGCCACACATAGCACTGGAACAACATTTCCTGTCTACTCCAGAAGGAAAAGTTTCATCAGTCTTGAACGTGAGAAAAATAAGATGCTTACTGGAATAATTTCAAAAAGACAAATATGAACCTCAGCTTGTGGAGCATAATATGGTACAAAGGGAGGGACTACATGAACATGAGGCCGATCCATATCTTCCCACACTTTTAAACGATCATCAATTACCATTGCTAATTTTGGATGGCAAATGCCACCTTGGAAGACATTAAGTAAAGACTTTCTTGCCACTGCAATTGGGTAACAATAAATAAGCAGGCTAGTAGCAAAAATTAGAGAGATAAAGATTTATTAAAAAAAAAAAAAACAAAAACAAAAACTTGAAACTAACTGAAAAAGAGGATGAAAAACTCAGAAATAAATTAACTCTGCAACACCAAAAAGAGAAGCAGGATTTGTGTTGGTACAGGAACTAATAATACTGAGACAAAACTATTGGAAAACAATGAGCCAAAGGTGTTAACCTGATTTAACACATACAATGCGGTCCACTAGTTGCTTTGTGCAGATAAGCTGTGCCTCCGGGTCAAGCAACCTCCACATCTCCAATGCATAATCCCTTTCTGCCATTGTGCAAACATATACTTCAAATCTTTTGCGACCTTTAGCAGTCAAATAAGTTTTCAAATCATCCCAAGCAGGCCGTAGTCTGACTAGCACACTAGTGTCACGGTTCTGCATAAGCACACAGCAAATTTAAAGGTATTCCATACCACATGACTACACAAACAATTTGAAGTATGCATTTTTAATTAATCAAAACTGCTCTCATAGATTATATTTGTCTTGAGCTCCTTTAACCCAATATGCTTGGACAATTTTAACTTTCCTTATGAACAACAAAGAAACAAAACCTATGCAGATACGCATGTCTAACAGACTACTGTATCTGCTTAGCATTCATAGTAAATTCCATATACAAATCTTCTAACCTCTGGATTGATGCGTGTAAGGACAATATTCTTTTCCTGCAATCTTATGACTGGGCGAAGAATGCACTCATGCCCATCAGATAACTGGGGAACCTCCTCTTGAACAGCCTTATATACTTTATTACCATCCACAACACTATCACCCTCTATGTACTGCTTTAGTAATACCCTGTCCTCAGTGTATCTCTTCATCTCTGCTGACATACCTAACACCCGAATTGGATCTGTCTCTCGTGCAGTCCAACCTCGCAAAGCCTCAATCCTATTCTCAAATGACCTCATTGTATTAGCAACAACCAGCGTCTCATCAAGATCAAACACAATAGATAAACACCTCATATTTAGCATTCCCAAACATGAACCATATAACCCACGCGGCACAGAGAAGCACCAGAAACAGGGGAATTTCTTCTGCTTACTTGGCATTGCAACTAAGTGTACTTCTTCATCCCCTAATAATACCACTGCTGTCTACAAAAACGAAAAGAAGGTACTAATAAGATAGTGTATAACATAAAAGAAGCTCAACTATTCCCAGGATACCAGAATCCAATTGACCATATATAATGACAATTCACAAATGTTCATCTAAAAGAACCTATGCATCAATATAACCAAATTGATTCCTCTTCCAGTGCATGCATTATGGCTATGCACACATCATCTGTAGATACCAGAAGATTACACACACAATGAGACGCACCAAAAGTCCAAATAGTCCAACATATATCCATTATGCATTAACTTTAACACACAATTATGAAGAACACAAATGGAATACATGAAAGTCTCAGGACACAGACATAAATCGATAAAATTAACAAGACCTACAAAACTGTCTCTGAAGAAGTTACAATAATCCTAAATGGTAAGATATCAAACTCTGCCAAATACATTACACTAAAACTAATTATGCACAAAATGGACATCGGCAATTATTACAAAATCAAAGATATCTTGAAATTAACTGAACTGTCAACATATCATGAACATGTGCAAATGCAAGTTACGCAACATATATTTGCAGAATATATACTGCTAATAAATGAAAATGCTAAGAACAATTTTCCATTGATCAATGAGCACTGATCAAAACGAATGACCTTGAGGTCATAGAAGCAAGAGGAATGAAGGTTGATCAACGGAGATTGCTCGGCAGTAGAGACGTTGCTGGAATCGGAGCTTGGTTCAAGCTTGCAACGAACAGGGGAGGAAATTGCTTGAAAAACAGCGAGAGGACGGCACCGCTCGCTGTTCTGAGAGATATGGTGGATGCGTATCTCGTTGTTGGGGAATACGAAATTCTGGTCCTTCACTGTCAAAGTTTCCAGCGCTCCTAAACGCGCCTCCCCATAGTACACCACTGATTTGAACCTCATCGGGAAACCTCTCTCGCACACTTCAAATCGAATGAGCACAATTTAACAAATGTGAAGAAAATTTGTGATTTTCTCCATGAATTTTCTTTCTTCTCTTCACTGCATTCTCACTCACTCTCTTTCTCTCTCTAAAACTCGCGCGCTCTCACGTCGTTCTAACTTCTCGCGTCGGTTTAAATGGCCAATTTGGTGAGGCACTGAGGCTGATATTTATAGAGTCCTGAAGGGGTCCGTTACATATATGGCGCTGGTTCTGCATAAAATTACATAAATACCTCCCCGTAACTCAAATGACTTATATAATTAACTAGTTTTTTACGCGCATTGCGCAATTGGGATAATGCCCAATGCTTTTTTTTTTTAAATAAGTACTTTAAAGTATATTAAGGTAGGATTATATTGAAATTGTTCATGCATAGATAATTGAAGGTTGAATTTGCGTATTTAAATAGGTAATTCTTCTCCCAAAGGTTGAGTCCCCAACCCCAAGGGCCCCCCACACTCCGACCCGACAGAGTATTGTGAGAAGTTGTAAATCACGGTGACTCAATGGTTCAGCAGACAGGGCCAAATGCTGATATGCACAAGGAATCTGCCCACTTTGGTTCAGCAGACAAGGCCAAATGCTGATACGCACAAGGAATCTGCCCACTTTGGTTCAGCAGACAGGGCCAAATGCTGATACGCACAAGGAATCTGCCCACTTTGGACATAATTCCCGCACTGCCGCCGCCGAGGTTCAAACCTTGGTCTCTTCTCCCAAATACTATCCACTAAACTATTGAGCTAAGCCCGTGCGGGTTAAATAGGTAATTCTAAGTTTACAAATGCAAGATAATATAGTCAAGATTGATTATAATTATCAATAAAATAATTATATAGGTATGGTTGAAACTTGAAACCAAATACGGGACATAAGGGAGAACAAATAAAAATTACGGCATAAAATATTAAATATATACTAATATTGTTTGAAGATATTCCGACATTAGGATTTGTGGTTAAGTTCTATTAAGACTTTAATATTAGAATTAGATTAATGGTGTAGTTATAATTTTATATTAGACTTTAATATTAGAATTAGACTAACGGTGAATTAACGAAAAAAAGTTAAATGGATAATCATATAATTAAGGATAAATTATAAAATCTTAAAAGAAAAAAATTAAAACCTGAACAATATGAACCGTTCATTTGATTTAATAATTTGGCGGTCATTTTTCTACCCAATGTTAATAATTTAATAATCCGCTAACGCTAACCGTTAACTGTTGATTGTCAAATAAGGACATTGCGAGGTAGTTCTCACTTCAATTTGTTGTGTGATTTGAATACTCTCTTTGTCACAAAATCTCTCAAATGAGTTAATATGGTTGGCTTTATTAATTATATATATTTTTAATTTTTTCATGGTATTAATAAAATACTTGGTAAATAAATGTATAGCATTATTTTGTATTATAGCTTTGATATTTGATTAGAAAAATAGTGCACAAAAAAGATAATAGATAATGTAGTGAATATAATCAATTGATAAATTTGAATGTAAAAATTTTTTACATTTGAGAAAAATAAAGACAATATAACTAATGAAAATATTTCTTTTAATTAATTTATTGATAATTAATAATTTTTTTTTCACGGAATAAAGACATTGTAAGGACAATGTAGCGAATATAATCAATTAATAAATTTGAATATAAAGAACTTTTATATTGAAGAAAAATAAAGACAATATAACTAATAAAATTATTTCTCTTATTTAATTTATTGATAATGAATAATTTTTTTTTTGAATAAAGACATTGTGGACACATAATTCTAAATTAAAGAAATGCATATCAGCATATGCATTAATCTATACTATATATAAAAACAAAATCCTGAAATTTTAACTTTCCGCCCAATTCCTAAAAAATCTCTCCTCCTAATAAAATAGATTGATTTCTACTTTCCCATTCGTACAATAATTCTGCGTTAAAATTCTATTCTCATATTATTATAAAGTACTGTAATACAATCTATACTATATATACAAACAAAATCCTGAAATTTTAACTTCCCGCCCAATTCCTAAAAAATCTCTCCTCCTAATAACTTTTGACTTTTGACACTAAGTTGTAAAGTGTCAAAAGTTCGGCAAGGCATAACTTTTGACTCCGTTGTCCGTTTTAGACAAATGTTTTTTTGAAATCGCGTATTTTTTCGAGATTTATCCACCGCAAACTGCCGTAGGCGGTTTGACCCACCAATTTCTAAAAAAAAAATACTTTATTAAAGAGTTTCTAAGAAAAAACTATGAGAAACTTATGTTTTATTAATGAATTTTTAAATTTTTTAATTAAACATTTGTCCCGTGCATTATTTAATAATCTTTCTTTATAATTGGTCAAATTATTTAATTATGGTAAATTTGGAAAAATAATTAATGATGGTAATTGAAATCCTAGAAGAATATAGAATTGAACAATATTTAATTATTGTTATATTATTATTGTGACTCACAGAATACAAGAGTTAATGCCATTTTTGGTCATAGACTTATTGGGGCATTGACACTTTTCATCCTCCATAATAAAAATTGTCACTTAGTAGCCACTGTTATTGATCGTTGGACAGTGTTGATCCTCCGTCAATGACGCCGTTTGTTGACCGTGAATTAGAAGGGTTTTTCTGTCTTTTTATGTTCTAATCCTTGTATTTCTCCATCCATTGGTCACTGTTACATCCATTTCTTCAAACTGAGGTTATCCGCTTCAGTACTCCTTTCTAACATTAAGAAACCATCTTCACCCAACTAACAATCACGAATTTTACATTTGACATCAATCTCAAGATAATAGAAACAAGTGCAATTGGAATATAAAGGGTGTTAGTCCATGCCTGTGTAAATTTTGTCGAGCATACAACATAACTAGCAAAGTCAGGAATATCACCCAACCCCTCCCTTAACCTTTCTGCATGAACTATAATAGGTATGCCCCTACTCTTTGCCTCCTGCACTACAATCAAAGCAGTCTCATGCACCCTTCCATCTAAGTAGACAATATTTACTACAAGCGCTGAAGACAATTTTGATTTGGGTATGTAGACCCTCAGATATCATGGGTGGATATCCTGGAGTGAAAATGCACGTGCGAGTTTTTTTTTTTTTTTTTGGTTGTCAACAATGACATATGTGAATGGTGAGTTTCCTCCTTTGGACACCACCATAAAAGATGTATCAACACCATCCCTTTCAATCTCATCAAGTATTCTTTCGCCATGCGAGTCATCAGCAACCTTAGATATGATCCTTGGATTAAGACCAAGACGAATTTTATCATCCGAGTTTTATCAAAGCATTGTCAGTGTTACCACCTCCTTGAACCTCAAAGCTGGTGCTCCGAATTTTATCATCCGGGTTGGGGAATGAAGCTACAGCAGCAAGGAAGTCAACACCTGCCATTCCAACACCTCAGACAATGCGATTTTTGGGGAGCGGCGGATTCCAAATTTTCAGCTTGAAACTTCAATGAATTTCAGGTAGAATAACAGAGTTTTTGAGGTTGTGCACCAAGTAGTTGTGGTCAGAGAGAGAGAGAGAGAGAGAGAGATGGGAAGGATATTTGTGGTCAATATGGAAGGGAGGACTTACAGGTGCAAATTCTACATCACGCCATCTACAAATACAACTGCTATTTACCATAGGAGGGTTCGCCGACCTGCTGCCCTCTCTACTTCGCCGGAACCAAAAACCACCGGTGAAGGCCCCAACCTCGCCGGATCTATTGCTGCACCGCCAGATCTGCCTTACTGGTCCGTCGCCGGAAGGAGTTACTGCCTCGTATGCTCGCCGCCGTACCCACAACTCACCGGAGAAGAACCTCGCTGCTACTCACTACCGACGGTTACTACTTAGCCGCGAAGTCTCGCCTCACAGGAGTCACAACAGCGCTGGTCTAAACAAGATTAGAAGAATAAGACATAAAAAGCCAGAAAAGCCCATCTAATTCACGGTCAACAAACGGCTTCATTGACGGAGGATCAAAACTGTCCAACGACCAATAACAGTGTCTACTAAGTGGCAATTTTTATTATGGAGGATGAAAAGTGTCAATGCTTCAATAAGTCTAGGACCAAAAATGGCATTAACTCCGGAATACAATACAAAAATATTTAATTATGGTTATATTATTATTGTGCCTCACGACCATTATATACTAATAGTACTTGAAAAGAAACTAATAATAATAATAATAATATAATAATAATAATAATAATAATAATATAAGTGGTAATAATAATATCTAAAAGTAATTAAGTGTTAATAATAATAGTAAGAATATTAACGTAAGAGTTGTAACATAGAATAAATCGTAATAATTAATAACTATAGTCTATGATTAAATTTGGAATTGTCAGGATTCAGGAAAAATAAACGACCTCTGGTGAAATTAACTCTTAAATAATTATATATCGATTTAAATATTCTTAATATATTACAACAATTCCATTCCGTGCATCGCACAGGTGAAAATACTAGTTCTAAATTAAAGAAATGCATATCAGCATATGCATTATTTTTTGTTGTAACTACTAAATTATTATTTATATCTACTATACTAATAAAGTACTAATTATGCCAACTTTGATTGGGATGAGGTTCGAACCTATGACTTTTTTTTATTGAAATCAATGAGTAAGTTAACGGTGAACTAACGGCAATTCTTAAAATTTTAACGGAATTAGTAACGGTGTGTGGGTATTTTAGGAAATTTTAGTGTAAAATTTAAATCTGATCAATCTTTTAATCAATCTGAGCCATTCATTTGATTAAGATCTGTGACCGCCATTTTTTCTACCCATTATAGGCTTAACTCTCTTGGGCTCTTATTAGTATAGTAGATATAGTAGATATTGAATTACTAACAAAATAAATAAATAATGAAGTACAAATGTTGATCTGCTTATGCAATTAAAAACTTTTAAATTCATCTTTCAAATTTGATATGTTAACATAGTAAAGATTAATAAGTCTAGCAAAAGCAACTAAAATTTCATTTAATATAAAGTTGAAGAATTAAAATTAAGTTAGCTGCAATATTTAATAAAGGAATAAAGTTCAAATTGGCCACTGAACGTAACCTGAAAGTGCAATTAGGTTACTGAACGAAAAAAAAGTGCAATTAGGCCACTGAACACTCAAAAAATGTGCAATTTCACCTGATAGCAGGTTATCCTCAATTTTAGCAGGTTATCTGCTTACGTGGCAGCTGAGTTGGCATTTTTAATAAATTTTAATTAATTTTTAATAAATTTTAATAATAAATTTTTATTAAATTTTTTTAAATAAAAGCGACTTTATTTTATTTTTATTTAATTTTTTTCAATTTTTTATAAAATTTATTATTAAAATTAATTATTAAAAATTATTTAAAAATTATTAAAAATGCCAACTAAGCTGCCACGTAAGCAGGTAACTTGCTAAAATTGATGGTAACCTGCTATCCGGTAAAATTGCATACGTTTGGAGAGTTCAGTGGCCTAATTGTACATTTTTTGAGTGTTCAATGACTTAATTGCACTTTTTTTTCGTTCAGTGACCTAATTGCATTTTCAGGTTACGTTCAGTGGCCAATTTGAACCTTAATTCTTTAATAAAAGGTACAAAAAGTTAACTTTAAAAAAAAAAAACAATAATGTACAAATTATGAGGTATGGTGGCGGCTTAAAGCTAACAATATTCTAATAAATCTGATTTTGACTTCTGTAGTCTTGCCCACTAGCCAGACGACACGTGACAAAAAACAGTGGAAGAAGACTCACATTATAGTATTTACTTTTTTAGTGAAAAATATGAGTAGAAGATATCTTACTCTTCTTCAGACAACGTGACCAGGAAGTTTCAGACACAGAAATCGCCGGATTGTAGTCGGAAAGAGCCATGTGGCAGACGGCATCACCGGGTGCCGGCTCGTCCGCCGACGAGCCAGGGGCGGAGAACCGGCCGTTAGGCGAAGACGGCGTCGCGGAAACCGAGTCAAGGAAGGAAGCAGCTGGCGCTGAGGACTTGCCGTACGGTGTGGAAAACGACGCCTTCGGTTCTCAGCCCCCGGCATCCGCCACCGGTGGATTATCGCCGGAGAGACAGGAAAACGGCCCGACGCTTCCTTCGCCGGAGAATATGGTGCGTGAGGAGGGTTTTGCCCTGAGAGAATGGCGACGGTAAGTAAAAATTGTATCTAGTTTAGCCGGTTTTTGCATGCAAAGCTGCAAAGGCATAAATCAATAAAATTCTTATTTTATATTCTCTTATTAATTGAAATTTATGGTGCATATTAACTACCTTGACTATGATTTTGCAATTTTGGTCCCGTAAGGTACAGAGTAAAATTTACGTATACGAATTCTCTTGTCTCTAGTTCCTGATAGGGTAGGATATGAATTCTTGATTTAAATAACAATTATTTGCTCTAAAGTAGGTGACAATGACTAAATTGAGTTGAAAATTGACATTTTCTTAAGCTAAAATGGTTTTCAAGTTAGTATTAACTTGGTAATCAGGTTATAAGTTCGACTCTCAATAGAGCGGTTTATTGGCATTCTTAATTTGAGCCGGTATGATATGAGTTAGGCGATGTGTATTTTTGCAGTGAGAATGCGATTCGGCTGGAAGAGAAGGAGAAGAGGGAGAAGGAGATAGTGAAGGAAATAATCGAGGAAGCCGATGAATACAAAGCAGAGTATTACAGGAAATGGAAGCTTAGGTGTGAGAACAGCATAACTTCCAACAGGGAGAAGGAGAAGGTGAGACCCACACCTAGGACTATTAATCTCAACAAAATGGTATCAGAGTCAGGTCACATGTTCCGTTTTAGCAAGAGTTTATCCTAACAATGTTAAACTTATGTAACGCTTCAATTCCTGTTTGGTTTTCAGTTGTTCCTTATGAGCAGAGACAATTTCCATGCCGAGGCTGGCAAGAATTATTGGAAAGCCATTGCTGAGCTCATCCCCAATGAAGTCCCGACAATAGAGAAGAAGGGGAAGAAAACACCGGTTGTTGTTGTGATCCAAGGACCCAAACCTGGGAAGCCAACAGAACTGTCTAGGATGCGTCAAATACTTGTCAAGCTCAAACACTCCCCGCCTCCACATATGAAACCTTCCCCGAACCAACCATCAGAACCCGGCAAAGAAACCAAGACAGGCGCAAAAACGCCTGCAGCTCATCCCGCTAAGCCTGCAGCACCGTCACCACCAGATGCCACCTCATCGGTTGCAAGGTAAGCTTGCCGCTGGTTGATTCTTGAAAAGCGTTACGATATGCAATGCAGCTTAGTATTGAAAATTTGCTTTGCTTAAGCTGAAGTTCCCAGTTATGTTCAGAAAGATGCTGTTTTTCTTAGCTTGTTTTAGACCTGTTGCCTTGAGAATTATGGCTGTATAGTGTGTGTATATAGTGTGTTCTGCTTTATTATGTTGATATGATCAATATAATACACTTCTGCTCATAGAAATACAATACAGAATGTCTGATAATTTTACCATTCCAACATTGTGATGCCTTTGTTCAAAACTATAAATTAGGATGCCTAGAATTTACAGGTGAGACAAGAATATGAACACTAGAGGACAACCTCAACCAAGTTGATAAGGCTGTTAACTTGGTAACAACAAGGTTACATATTCGACTACCAGCAAGGGCGGCCTATTGGTCTTCTTGGTTTGAACCGTTCAGCTATGAGTAAAACCTAGGCTGGTTTAGCTCCTTGTGGTCCTTTACCGGCTAAGGTCACAGGGCGGGGTTTACCCAGTGTACACCGTCAGATAGTGACTACGGGTTTCCCTCGCCTCTGAAAGAATATGAACACTAAGAAAAATATGTGAGGGAGTAAAAGAATAATAATTGAATGTCTTGTATTATCTTGGAAGCATTTCTGTCATGGTCTGGAAACTATGCATCTGGTTTGCTAATGCAAAATGATTAACAGATTGCTTGCCTCTCTTTGGGCTGGCATATGCTGCTGCTTTCCTAGAGCTCTGTGGTCTATAAACTCCCGGCTCTGTCAATAATTTCTCGTTAAGGTTTACATCTTTCGAGAGCATCTCAATCACTTGTTTCATGCTTGGTCTTTGTTGAGAAGATGTTTGGGTGCAAAAAAGCGCGACTTTAATGAAGCGGATCGCTTCAGCCTCTGGATATTCTGTCAATTCTGGATCAACGATTTCCAGAAGCCTCCCTTCTTCTCTGAGCTTCCATGTCTGCAAATTTGTGTATGTTTCAGAAACTGCATCTACATAAAGTTTCTTTCAAAATCTTTATATATGAAGCAAGAACACTGCTTGATATTCAGGGACTTTGAAACTTACCCATTCCACCAGCATCAACATATCCTCTCCAAAAGCAGCCTTACTACTGCTTCTCCCACTAATGATCTCGAGAAGAACCACTCCGAAACTATATACATCAACCTTTTTTGTAAGCTGTCCTAGCAAAGCATACTCGGGAGCAAGATATCCTCTGCAGAAAGTAAGACAAAGACAAAATTATGGCACCTTGGAAGAGTTTCCCAAGATATTACAAACATCAAAGAGTTGAAGAAAATTAAGAATTTGGAAAGAAATGCAAGGAACACTCACATCGTTCCTGCCACTCGAGTACTGAGATGCGTTACATTGTCAGGGAAAAGTTTTGCCAGACCAAAATCCCCGATTTTAGGATGAAGATTTTCATCAAGAAGCACATTACTAGCTTTTATATCTCTGTGCACTATATGTGGTTCGGCTTCTTCGTGAAGAAATGCTAGACCAGATGCTGTTCCCAGACATATGGCAGCCCTCTCAGGCCAATCCAGATCAATTCTTTTGCCTTTAGAACCTGAAACGATAATCCAAATAGTCATTGGCCTGATAATTGATCTGTGAGGGCTAGTTTCAGGTTGTCTGATAGTTACCTAGTAATGCACTGGCAAGGCTATTGTTCTCCAAATATTCATATACCAACATCCTATTACTGCCCTCAACACAACAACCAATCAGATGTACAAGATTGGGGTGTCGGATGTTCGAAATCATGTTAATTTCTGTCAAGAATTCATTTGTTCCTTGCTTTGACTCTGCAGAAAGGCATTTGATGGCAACACAAGTTCCATCCCTTAACACACCCTGCATATTCAAAAACACAATCAAGAACTTAGAAGTGTTTAAGGTTAAAATTTAGCCATCCAAAAAGACACCCTGAATATAGGTATAGACACTAGTCTTACCTTGTAAACAACTCCAAAACCACCCCCTCCTATCTTGTTTGATGGATGAAAATGCCCAGTTGCTGATCTGATGGAGTTATAGGAGAATAACCTCACATTAATGGTAACAAGTTCTGAACATTCACCACATAGAAGAAACCAGAAAGGGACAATTAGAATAGCCCAGGGCAGAAATTCAAAGAAATTAAACACACTGAAAACTTGAAAAGGAAACATATTTCAGCCTGCAGGAGTAGCTCAGTTGGTTTCTGAGTGGCAAATTATGGGCAAAGACGCATGATCGAACCTTACAGTCGCATTGTGAGAGTTTTACACTCTCGTGAGTGACTCTTTGTGATCACCAGAAACTTCCCACCTAGTGGGCAGCTAAGTTGAGGGATTTTGCATTTGTGAGCAAGGAAACATATTCCAGAATATGAAAATAAAAGAATCATATGCAGAACACAAGCCAAGAAGAAAAAAGCCTTCTTAATTACCTTGAGTCAGCATCTCCCTACGATCTTTAGAAGATTGAAAAGCACCAAAGCAGCTAAAACCCATTGCTCCTCAGAACGAACACTTGAATTCCAGCAAGAAATATGAAGCCTTTGATCATGCAGTAACTGCTCTTCAATCTACCATAAAACCTACCTCATAGAAGCTCAAGAATGCAATAACCCATCAGTATTCTAACCATAATTTAAACTATGGGAAACAGAGCAGAGTTGTATGTAAATGGGAAAAGTTTAGGTGGGAACATGAGAGCAGGGGAGGATCTACCGCAGAAATATTTATAGAAAACTACTAAAAAGGGTTTCTTTGGAAAATGGTAGGTGGAAAGATGGAGACAAGGCAGATTGCAAAAGAAAAACAGTAATGGCTCTTGGCTTTTGCAGCCCACACCTTTTGCAACTTGCATTATACAACTGTCGTTGACCTTGTAACATATCCCTTTTGAATTGTGGCGCTAGTATGGTTAATTGCACAATGATTTCTTTAATAATTTATGTGAAAACTAGTAAACTACCCCAATTTAGTAAAAATTTGTTTGCTTAATTAGCTTAAGCAAGCAAGAGAAGAATAACTAACGTCTTAAAGATAGGAATTAAATACTCATATATAACTTGATTAGTTATAGATAGAAAAATGCTAAGTTTGTATATACAGCATGGTGAGCATGGCTTTTATGGCATTGTGGTCCTCAATAATAATCGTGGGTTTGTGGCAGCCAAATGCGGTTCTCTTCGGTGTCTAGGTGATCCCTATTTAGCTGAAGTCATGGCTATAAAGGAAGCTCTCTCTTGGATTATCTCTCAAGGCTGGCGGAATGTGGTGGTACACTCGGATTGTTAATCAGTATGCAGGTTAATTAATTAAAATCTCCCGGATACATCCTATGCAAGCAAGATTATCAATAAATGCCGGGTTCTAAGACGACACTTTGATTCAGTGTTTATTGAGTTTGTGTCTCGATCAGTGAACATATGTGCTCATGCCTTAGCTAGAGCAGCTAGTTCTCATTCTAGTCATTCTTGTTGGTTTTCTTCAATTCCTTCTTGGCTTCTTGTATTGAACAATTGCTCTCTTAAGTTTTATTTAAAGTTTTTCCTTTCCAAAAAAAAAAAAAAAAAAAAAAAAAGAAGATGCTATATTTTAAAATTAGAAAGTTGTGAATGTTTAATTACTTATAAATATAGCGTGTCATTTTACTATATTTTTATAATATACGAAATTAACAATTTTGTTCAAATAAAACATTATCATCCGTCCAATTGGTTGATCTGTTACTTGGATTATGGATATCCATCTTTTTTAATCATTATAAGTCATTGCTTTTGGTATTTTTTTCACACAATGAATATGACAACAAATAAAAGTATATTAGATTCCAATAAACTGATTTTCTTTAATTTTATGGTGACCTAGTTGAATTTTTCAAATGTGTCACACTTTTTACTTTTAGAAGTAGATTAGAAGTATTCTAAGAGTATTTTATTATAATATGACTAAAATATTATACGTATTTCCAATTTCTATTTTACTTTACCCCTGCTTGCATGTTCTAATTCATATAGAAAAAGAGTATATTATAGTTTTTATTACTTTTTTTTTTTTTGTTTTTTTTGGTAGAATGATCAAATAACTCCATTTACTATTAACAACGGTTCAATTCACACCTTAGACTAAAATAAGATCTAATTAGACACATTTACTTTTAAAATTTTATTCACTTAGCATTTTCTTCAACATTCTCCAAGTAACCCTTCCACGCTGATATGGAATTTAAATAAAATAATTTTGCTGACTTGGTTTCATTGTTGACATTTAAACCCATTCAATCCAGAGAAAACAAAGACCAAGTTATCAACACAACCTGACAATAATGCTTCTTGATTTCGGTCAAATCTCCAAGAGGTCGAGAATGATCATGGTGAACGCAAGTAGGTTCAATTCAGTGCAAACATAAACTTTCTTCTCTACCTACTTGTTTGAATTTTGTCTCAACTTCAATGACAGATTGTGACCCCTTATGGCCTTATATGAATTCGAAGCTACAAATTTTGATATCTTTAAAACCTCTTGTTGCAGATTTCACAAATAAATCTATTTGCAGCCAATAAAGTCTTGAATGATAAAGTAATCACCTTTGCATCAAAATCTTGAAAACCTAGAAAAATAAAAATTTCCAAAAATTAATTTTTCTGATTTTAGTAAGTCGAATACTTAGCTTTGCACTCAAACGGATTACATGGCATTCCGGGAAGGTGCTTTGTCTTGCTAGTTGCTTTTGGAGTAGATGCTTGATTGTCATATGTAGAGACGTTGGCTTCGTTGGAACTGGTGGAGTCATTCATGACGGAAGAGTTATCAGCCACCAGAGTTTCAAGTTGATCATCCACTGTTTGCGGCTGACGGAAGAAACACGATGACGTTATGTTGCTATAACACTAGAAGCGTCCAAGGAGTTTTAAGAGAGAGAATTTTTTTTCTCTAGGTTTGAATGGTTTAAAGGTCAACAAGGTGATAAATTAACAAGTCAACAAATTTATTTTTATTTAAATTTCATGTCAGCATTGTGGAAGGGTTACATCTAGGGGTGTTAGCGAACATAGCTTTCGGTAAACTACTCGTGTTCTTGTTTGGTAAGCGTTCGTTTATTAAGGTGAACGAACATTAACAAACAAAATTTAGAGCTCGATTTATAAACGAACAGAGTTTGAACAGTTGTAAGCTCGTTTGCTAAGAGATCGTGAACAAGCTCGTTTGTGTTCGTTTAATAATGTTCACGAACAAACTCGTTTAGTGTTTGTTTATAATGTTCGTGAACAAGCTCATTTGTGTTCGTTTAATATTTGTTTGTATTCTCTTTGTAGTTGTGTTACTTGTTTAGTTATTTTTCATGAACATATATTATTTCTTGTTCACGAAAGAATTATGATCATGAACATGTTCATATGTTTGGTTATTAAGCATTCATGAACGTCTTTATGAACGTGAACGAACATGTTCGTGAACGTGTTCGTTAATGTTAGCGAACATGTTCGTGAACGTGTTCGTTAATGTTAACAAACACGTTCGTGAACATGTTTGCGAATGTTAACAAACACTAATGAACGCTTAACAAAAGAACATGAACAGAATTTTCAAAAACCTTAACAAACGAACACGAAGACAAACACTCCAAAAACCTTAACAAACGAACACGAACAACCTCCGTTCGTTTATGTTTGGTTCGTTAACAACCCTAGTTACATCTGGGAAACTTAGAGAAAATGCTAAATGAATAAAATTTTAAAAGTAAATGTATCTAATTGATTTTATTTTAGTCCTAGGTGTGAATTGAATCATCATGGATAGTATACGGAGCTATTTGACTCTTATGCCCTTCTTATTTTTTTACAATATTTATAAGAAAAACATAAAAGCTAAGGTCGCTAGGCTCTCCCGCCCTAGAATCACTGGAGGATGTAAATTGTGAGTCGCACGAGCAGCCTTTCAGTTAGTCACCCGACTTATTATGCGTACAAAGAATTCAACCCACGCCACATTTTAATATGAGACGTTCAATTCCAATAATGTCGTTTGAGGTTAGATTCAAACCCCTACCCTACTACTTTGAGCTATGACTTGGGATCAAATGATCAATCACTTATATTCACTTATGGAAGCCTCGAGGGTTCCCTTTCTGATTATCTTTTGTATTAAGTGATAATGCTTCATGCATGCGTCATTTTAGTCTATTGACAAAATCATAGTTCGTTAAATGTTAACAATTCAACACCACGTGCCCTAATTTATAGAAATTCAAAGGTTGCCAATTTGTCAACCTTGAGGTTTCTTTAATTTTGATATAGAATAAAGTTTAGACTCTAGAGAATCGATCTCAGTCATGAGTCAACAGTTATTTTAATGAGAATATCCAATGACTTGTCATTGTGGAATGAACTAATTAACCCCATTGAAATTTAAATTTTGTGGCAATATCCAATGACTCGTCATTGTGGAATGAGCTAACCCCATTGAAATTTAAACTTAATTTTGACATAGAATGAGCTAACCAATGGAATGAGCTAACCCCATTGGTTCAAATATTAAGATTGAAATCGTAATTAAAATCAAATACTTTTTTAATTGTAATACACAAAATTCATGTTCATTATGTTGTGTTTATGTGTGTGTATTATGAAGATGAATTGTGTGTGATACTGCTAATTATACGTAAGCAATATGAAATAACTCGAGACCAATTAAAGCGAGTAAATGTCTTTATTGATCACGGTAGAGGCCCTAAGTACAATCTACTTGGTTGCTCTGAGTACCGACTGACTGCGGTCGGGATTCTCTAACAACAACCTATCGATCGTCCAAAAGTCCCCTACACTGTAGCTACTGTGGGTATTTATAGCCGCTTTGCCGGGGACAGGATTCCAGCCGTTCGGCATGTCCTCCACGTAGCCACCACGTGTCATCCTCCCGGGTGCCCTGCCTGTCGATGTAGAGAGCCGCCACGTGTCCTTCGTCAGCTCTCTCGCCAAAGGGCTACCGCTCGGTGGTTGACATCGTTGCTCGGGCAACTCCCGGTCGGACCCCGACCGGGTTCTTCACAAGGAGCCCGACCTGTTACCTGCAAAGACAAAGAGAAAAGGACAAAGGCTTCTCGGTCGTGGTGAAACTATGTCGGTCGGGACATTCCCTACCAAGAGCCCCCCAGCCCGGACCTTTTTGATCGTCCGGGAAAAAACGGGACGGGATGAAGAAGCCCAACCGTCGGCCACTAAACCGACCGGCCAGCTGTCATTCCCCTCCTCGCCACGTGTCGGCCACTGCTGGCCTCGGAATCAGTGCGGGTCGTGTCATGCAAGTGGATTGGTTTCCCGCCTAAATGTTTTTCCTATAAATAGGCCCTTGAGGCCTCCATTTGAACTTTCCTCAATCCACTGAAGCAGTCGGTACCCTCAGAGAGTCCCGAGCAGAGCACCTTAACAAGGCAGTCGAGCAAGGAAACCTTCAAGCTTTCAACCGCAAAGTTCCTCCATTCGGTAAATTCTCAACCCCTCCCTTTACTTTGCGCTTTCATTTATAAGTAGAACTGATAGGCCAACTAACTGTCCCGGACGTCTCAAGTCCCTTACTAACCCCGACCGACCTTTAGGTAGATCGAAATGACGGATTCTGACAGCCAGAACGCCTCGATCGCGGACT